AAGGCAAATAGCAATGCATAAGAGGAACCAAAGTCCAGAGAAGTACAGGGTAGTGCTGCAAGTCAGACTCGCTTCAGCTCCCATTATTCTTACTTTACTACAGCAACAAGTGAAGAGAGAGAAATAAAAAAAGAAAAGCAAAGCAGCACTTGCTCTCCTTTTTACAAATTCTGAGGTTTGAACAACTTCACTTCTATGGTTTGGCTTCTTCACTCCAAGTGTCGTTGTGTGACTAGGAGATGTTCCTTGTTCCATTATCTAAAACACCTACAAAAAGCAGCTCCCACATTTTTTTCACTTCTGTAGTTCTTTGTCATGCAAGCCAAAGAATAAAGAACACAAAAATTTTAATTAGCAAACAACTCTCCACACAGACTTTGTTGGTACAACATAGTTATAAGTACATCTACAAACACATACAGGTTCTTTGGACTATGATTTTTTCTTAAAATATATTTTATATGACAATGCAAACAAATCTGGAAAAAAAACAAATTACTTCAACTTTATGTAGAGGTAGCTGAACAGTTCTCTGTCCAGTGATATGAGAGTATAACTTAAGTTTCAGTTCAAGTTCATTACAGTGCACAAAAGGATGTTTTACAAACAAATGGAATATACAAGTCCACAAAACTTTTTATTTAAAATGGCTTGATATATTTCTGGCACTCTTGTAACCACATAGCTTGATGGAATTAAATTGGACAAGTATATGGTTCCAAATTAAGACATCTAACACAGATAGTCTTTTGCTCCTCATTTTTGTACTTCTCCCGTTCCTCATAAGGAAATTATAGAAGCTATGACATTGTTTTTGCTACACTTATGCTCTGTAAACCTTTGTTCTGCAAATTGAATGTAAAGATTAAAAGGTGCATATGTTTTATAGTTATAAAATATATGGCTATGACTATTAAAAAGCTCAAGAATGGCAATAACAGAATACAGGCACTTCTATGTGAGGGTTACTTTAGACCTTATGAAACTCCAACATTAGTAAGCACTTCACATGATACCTGGATGAGTAAGTCAATGTAATAGTTCAGGTTTTTATTATCCACCATTTTAATCCTGTCTAAGCAGATTAGTTTCTTCTTTCAGACAATATTTATTTAGCAAAGTGTTTCAAGAGAGTTACTTTGCCAAAACTACCATTTTTCTGTTACTGTAAGACTTTCAGTGATTTACTGGGCTTTGGAATAAACCCCAGATCCTAAACTACATGCTGCACTAGTTACAATTTCAGTTGTGA